TTTGTACCAGGGTTCGAAGTTTTTCAGTAATAGTGCACAACTCATGACCGTAGGTAAGTATGGGGATAAAGATCGACTTGAATACTGAGCTCTGCTTTAGTCACAATGGGTCGGGTTAGTCCACTGGCTATCCCAGCATTTCCTCCATTTTTCCATCATCAGTACCGCTAAATATGAATATGATTTCTATGCTGCATGTTAATGGATGACGTTGACAGACGAAGATTTTCTTTGTAAGAATTCGATTCATTGCTTTCTATGGTGGTCCTTGTGTAAACGACCAGCTTTGGTCTTTTCTTCTTTTACGCTTTGGTGACGGTCCTTATATCACAGTTGTTAAGTACGGCAGTTCGTGAATTTAAAATGACCTCTTTCACACACCCACTGGACACACTGGGAGAGCTGCTGAGGCACTGTAGGGAATATTGCCTTACAAAACCAGTCAATTACAGGTCAGGTCTTAGCGGGCCATGGAGCTAGTAATGGAGGCATTTTCGTGTCATTTGCGAATTTCTTGCTTTACTGCATGTGGTAAGTGTTTGTCGTGCATTATGAGTCAGTCGTCTTTTTCCAATGAAATCTTATACTTTACGTTCATTGAGTGCTAGCTAGCTTAATTGACTCACTTACACGTTAACCTAAGATATCAATTTCTTTGAATGATGAGGCCTAGGTTAGTTTTCTTTCGTTATTAAGTTGAACAATCGTTGAATGACTTCCAGCATCTGCGACATATTTTAAGTTACTCATTTTTGGCCTTATTTTCTCCTTTACTTCTTTTTTCCTACAAAGTGTAATTGGTGATTTTAATCACTCAGTTATACAATAGCAACAGGAATATTAGCATGAGCCCTCACGTGAGGTCTGGAGACTTGACTCATTTTCGTTGAGTACCTATGAGAAACGAAATTTTTGTCATCTTGCGATGACTCCGCCGTTGAAATCAGTTTGCACTAAGGACATAGTGCTGCAGGAGCATCAAGGCACAGATCGACAGAAACAGTGTTGTTCGGTAGACATGCGAGATCAGGTCAACGTGGCCGTTGCAAATTGGGTCGCCGCAAGAGCACACTTCCACTTCAGTGTTTGGTGGCTTCTCTTTCCGTGCCATCACCATCGACATGTTCAGCCTAACGCAGTACTTGCGAAATTTCAGTCCTCGGATTACCTGATAGTCCTCATTGAATCCGTGCCGAAAAATGCTGTCGTAGCAACCACGGATATATCCTTTATGGCCACGAGCTCCTGAAGTAGGCAAATGTCATAAATTTGTTGACATGAACACAATATATCGTCCAAAATTCATAACCAATTTAAACACCAAGTTTTCTGATTGATTTGTTCGAGGAACAAAGAATAGATGGTTGGATTTATTGATGCCACCGTGCTCATCACCTTTGTATATAAATGAAACGTGTATATTAACAATGCCTTGTTTAATAAATGTAAAATCCGCCAATTTATATTTCGAATAACTTTCTTCCATGAGACCTGGACTACCTGTGGTTTGTTGTTCTCAAATATAACGAGAATCATGTTTGACGGATTCAAAGTAAGAGAAATATGTATTGTCTAAAATGGGCTTGACAGGCGTTTTTCTTTGATTATTGTCACTATTAGATAAATGATAGATGATTGCCACTTGCCATTATTAGATAGAATAATAGTTCATTTTAAGTCAACGCTTCTTTTCAAGTAAAACAAACGGCCCTCTAAATTTGAAGACTGATTCTGGAACATTTCAATAATAACTCGATAATCTGGCTTTGACCAAATTTGTACTCTTATGAGACTAGTAGGCAAATGCGCAGACGATTCCAGTTGCCTTAGCTTACCAGTTTCTTCTACTTTAGGGCTACATTTAATATATTACATCCTCCAACAGTGTGGAGAATCTTAAGGAGCTGTGATGTCTGAACACAGCGTTTCCATTTTGCAAGGAATTTCTACTGTCAGAGTGGAAGAAGAGCTCTTTGAGTGGCTCCCGGTTGATTGTGGAGTTCGCCAGGGAGATGACCCTTCCACTTTGATATTCAACACTAGTGAATATTGGAGGCTCCAATGGGAGCTAAATGAAGAACCGCCCTCGCCTTCATTACTTTCGATAACCTGTAAAGTATTTGGGCTGAGAAGAAAGTAAAACTTTCCACAAATTTGCTTATCCTTGCCCCTGTCAGGTAAACGTCGTTTTACGGTATGGAAACAACTGTTCTAAAGAAGGAGCAAGAACGACGGTTGAAAACCGTATGTTCAAACCTTGGCTGCGACGCATAATCAACATTAAATGGCACGAACACGTATGGAATGACTCCGTTATCTTCCAGGCAAAATTTACCTCAGTCGTCGTTGAGAAGAAGAAGTTAGCCATGTTAGACAAACGGATTAACAGAGCAGGATCAGCTAACAGAGGACGATCCACTTTCTTACAGGCATATATTTTCTTCTACGATACAGTAATTGGCACCTTATAGAGAAAGTTTCAAAGGCATGAATGCAATGGACGTCACACACAGGAGGTGTTCCGCCCTCGCAACCGTATCACAGTGATGACTGCACACAGACTAATCACTCAAACGTAGAAAATTACAGATAAAGTTGATTTAAGAATATTTTTTCTTGCAGAGTGACCTTACCTTTGAAATAGCTTAACTGAATTTCCTCGGTATAGACATATTGACTTTCAGGCGTGACAATTGCAAGGATTTGAATGCTGCTGTTTCCTGAATAGCGTATTCAGCCTCAGCGAACTTTTTTATTATGAGATGAGCATAATTTCTTTGATTAACTATCTTCTGGCTTAATTGGTTATGCAAATGATCATCATAATCCTTGTCAAGTTGAACTCAAGACCGATCGGTTATGATGCCATAAGTTGGGGTTTTGGGCAATACGTTTTAGTTTGTTCAGAGACATCGTTTGCATATCATAGACTCCTAATAGACGACTTTATCTGAAGTGCGAAACTTTTTTCGCGAAGTACGCAAGATTAGATGAGTTCCACCTCTGCGCTGATGCGATATCGATTATTTAGTAGAATCGGAAAGATATTAACTTTTATTGCACGTAATAATCTAGTAATGGTCAATTTATGTCATTAACCTTGAGGATATATAAATGTCCAGGATAAATTGAACGTTTAACGGGATGAAGCAGACAAATTGTGCTGAAATTCCTTTCTCCGATTTTCTTGTCGAGCGGGTTTCATTAAACTCACAATGGCCTCGGATAGAAAATAAAACTTCAAGAAAGCAAGTTGTATTTAAATGTTTGACGAGCAACTTTCGACCATGAATCCAAGTTCTGAATGGCCAGAATTTCTGTGTAGTGACCGGTTTCATTAAAAAACTTCAGATTTGCATAACAGATCGAAAAATGTCAAATCTACGTTATCAGTAAACATATTAAGATTGGGAAAATTCAATCCGGAACAACAGCTGCAGGAGTGCATGAAAAACTACTAATTATAACGGGAATATTAACGCTACATTGAATGTCTTACTGCCTTCGTGATTATCTGGCGATGGACTAGACTCAATGGCAAAACTTCAATTTCCTGTTGCCTGCTGAGCAGAAAATTACCGTCACGCCCTGTGATCCTCCAAGTACATCATATTAGGACTGAAACAGCTGATAATCTGTTGCCCTCATAGGCGTTGAAAATGATTTGCTGCCCTTTGCAGAAGTCTATCCTCAGACAATAGGCATTATAAACTTGACTAATGAACATCTTTTAAACTCACATGTGTATTTAAATTCTTGATTGAAATTAATATTCAGTTATTTTGGCTTAACCAAAACAAAGTTTGACTAATAATGAAATGGATACAAGCCTGCGAAGGTGTATGTTAAGTGAAGCCTGAAGAGCACAAATCGACGTCCGTTTTCAGCATACCTGAAACAAAGCTTGTTTGAAATTCAAACAGAAAACGGTAGTCGGAGAGCACACCATGTACTTTAGAACATTGAGCGGAAATCTAGTATGGCTTCTATATCCGTAAGCTTTTCGATGCGATGATAGTAAGATTAGTAGGGCGCTTATACAATCGAAAGGTCTTTGAGAATACTAAAGTGGTCGTGGTTGCGGTGCCTACACGGTGTTCAACAAATGCTTTGAATATAGTTGAACATGGACTTTAATCTTGAGTGAATAGAAGGCCAAATCCTATTTTCGATCAGCCATCAAATGGAACACAGCATCTACACGTCGGATTAGCATTATAGTTTATCGATAAAGCGAAGACCAAGTCAGACATAAGGATTGGCTCATGATCGTGTCAGACCTAAGACGAAAAACGAAATATGAACGGTGAAAAGAATGGATATGGTTCTTTTGCCTGGCAGTGACTGATAAGTCAAGTCACGATTAAGACTCATTGCTTCAAGCTTGGCTTGTTTTTCTACGAGGCTCGAGGATCAAAAGCAGCGTAGCATCGACCGCCAAGACCAGCCAGCGAAACGGTCCTTCTGACAGGATTCCGATGAGTACAGTATGTGGTATTATTAGGTACAGTGAGTCACTGATGGTCATGTTCACCTAAAGCACTGTCTGTCTCATTCAGATGGTGACTTGGTGCTTAATCTTCCATTGGACTGTGTAGTTGATGACTTGAAACACTTCTTGCCGTAATGCCATTTGTAGTTCTGCTGCGACGAAGAATGTCGCAGGTGTGGACTCGATGAGGTCACCAGAAATGCAGTCGATTAGCATGCCGGTGAATTACTTAGTGCAACTGACAAAAGTCGATTATCCTTCAGTTTGCTAGTGCCGTCATAAAACCTCGTTGTGGCAGACACCGCAATTTGCCGACATTAATTGTACGCACGCGAGTCGCCAATCGGCCAGGCCGATCTTATCTGATCCATCGTTCGATCGTTGCCGATTAGTAGCGTCCCTCCATCAGCTCATAATGAGCAGTCACGTGTTAAGTCTAGCTTATGGTCAAATTGAAGAAAACGAACAAAACCGATGACCGCAATATGCTATTGATTTCGTGTCAAGGTGCTTGGAGACGACCATCATTCATTTCCTGTCCAGCCATGGCTACTTTAGCCGAAACAAGTGACCGTCTGTCTCGAAGATGAAGCGCTTTCAGATTTCATGGGAAAGTGCGTTAGCAGCACTTGTGAAGCGGTGAGTCATGGCGGAGGCAACGCAATGGCGAGAAAGTCATTCGGACTTATTCGTCCTCACAGCCCTGGCACAATTACTGCCATTCACCAGGCCGCCCTCACCTGCCTCGGAATCGAGGACGTCGTCATCTGACAAAAAGCACTTTCCCGCCGACAACGCGTCGGCCTTCGATTCGTACGTCAATTGCGGAAACACTTTTAATAATTTATGAGCTGCTGCATTCTATTAAGTTTTCTGCTCGAAACAAATTGCTGTTAACAGCCAGAGCTCAGACAAAGCTTGTCCAGGAATGTCAAACCAGCGGCTGCCTCATTTATTAGCTGCTGCTGAGTTTTCTACTCGACAAGCGATGACACGAATCGATGTTAAATTGCGTCAACGCCGCTGAAATATTTGACTTGTTATTTTGCTCATACCTCATTCTTTTGTACCGCTAAACAGAAGCTGATGTATTTTTGATCAAAATCTCTTATTCCCATTTGGCACAATTAGCACTTTGTCATGCAATAAATCTCTCTGTTAGGTGGGTGGTCTTCATATTTCTTACGGTATAATTCTACATATGTTATTATGCATGTCTAAGATGTTTCCAGTCACTGTTGATTCAAAGTCAACGAACACAGTCGACCGAGAAGCTGTGCAAGAGTGCTGCATAACAGTAACAAGATAAGCGGAGTAGAAAAAAATCGACAAATACCCAGACTTGGTAAACGGAATAAGAAGGCTTTTCATGGTCGCTTTAATATACTGATCGTATGTCTGATGGCATCGACTTGGAAAAGTCATTTGCTTCGCTTTGAGAGGAAGATTTGTTTCTGGAAACAGAAGAATACACAAGACCAGATGCAGCGAACGGCATAAAGCGTCAAAGAGTTCATGCACTAGCAAATGGCACCTGAAAGAGTCTTCATCTCAGAAATGACATCGCCATGTTATTCATGCCATCCAGTGAGCGTGCTTGAAAACAGCAATGTGTCATCCAGTTCGACCGCCCTATTGCGACCTATCGTGTCTCTGATCACGGTCGTCCCGATATACTAATCCTGGAGCACAAGAACAAGGCAGCTGAAATAATTGATGTTGCTGCTCCATTAGACGAAAACGTGTAAAAGTCATGGACGGAAAAAATAAAAAAATATTTAAGTCTCGCTATTGATCTGAAACAAGTGTTTGAGGACTGTGAGAATAATGCAAGTTGTCATTTCTGCAAATATCCTCATTCCGAAATCACTAAGGACAAGCTTGGACCATGTGAAGCAAACAGAAATGCTGTTATTGTAATGCCAGAGAGCTTCAGTTTTGGATATAGCCAAAATAGTGCAACAAATCAGGGATAGAGCTAATACCTAGCAGATCGCACACAATAATGTAGAATATAAAATGATATAAGAATAATACTGCAAAACGATTATTGTTGAGTTTTTGACTCCTTGTTTGAGGCAGTTTATCGAGCATCAGTCATAATTGCGCAGCGTTCCGCTGCTACCTCGGTTGCACTTCGCAAGGCTGTGTTGTTCGTGAGTCATTTTAGCGGAATAAAGCACCATTTTGCGGAAGAAAGGGTAATTCACACTATGTTAGTACGGAAATGATCTCAGCTAAATTCTTTTAGACAGCCGTTAGAGAATTCCGTCTAAACAAAACTGCCTTGAGGCACGCTAAATATCTCGCTGAGGCTATGAATGATGTTTAGGCATCCCGTGTCCAATGGCAGGAGAAGAATTCTGCTCGTTTCACACAACAAAAACCTCGAACCTTAATGAGGGCCCCAATGATGCAAAATTATTTCAAAAAATTTATATTCAGCTTCTTTTGATGCATAAAAAATTTCGATTTAACTATAAGGCGGAATAACAACCATGTTAGGCATATAAAAACTTCATTTCTAGTTTCCCAAAACCCTTGAAAAAAATTGAACTTATATTTCAGGTACTGATACCAGATTTACAGGGCAACAACGTACCATGCGAAGCTAAGCAAAAACTATTCTTGTTACTTTACAGCAATACTGTTATGGTGTAACACAGGCAGAAGTCCTTAAACCGGATAACGGCAACATTGCTGCGTCTCCTTGCTACTAGTCGCCTTTAAGGATTATTTAATGAGGCCACGCCTCTATAGTATTTAAGCGCCTGCGGTGCATAGGGCACATAACCATGCCCCCGAGTTGGGCTGAATGAGGTCATAAAATACTATTTATTTTCTTCAACGTTGGAAACTGATTTTCAAGCCTGATTACTTCAGATAGCTCAGTTTTGACCTTACTTCACCCATCTGTATGGTCTTTGTAGTTGAACC